ATATATATACTACAGTATGTATAAATATAAAATAAAAATATATACTACAAGTATATATAAATGTATATAAGTTGAAGACTAAAAATAAAACCTCAGGTAATTACTACTTTATTCGCAAGTAGATTATTGATTTATTGAAAATATGACTCTGATACTTCAGTATGCATTTAGCGCCCTCTACGAATTTCGCAAAATTTTAAATTATCGGGTTTACAAGATGTTTACCTTTGAGGTAATGGCTGTCAGTTTCGGCATTATCATGTTGTGAAGCAGATTTCCGTTGATAATAAGACGAATCTCGATGGTGTCAGTTGTGAAGGCCATGATATAGGGAAAGGCACACACTGGAAAATTTAACAACAACAATTGAAATAGTGCACAAAGTAGTTCAAAGAAAAGCAACGTGAGGGATACGAGATGCCGTAGCATAAAATGTTCCGTTTCATTAATATCGAGCAGACTATAAAAGTTGTCTCCTCCACCATTTTTTTATTATTTTAAGAACAGTGTATATCAATTCAGAATAATAAACACAATTTATTACTAAAGGTATATAATGCTAGAAGTTCGTTATCAAGTATCTTGGGATATATAACGAGAAAATTAGCTTTTTCCAGTATTATTGAAAAAACGCACTAGGTCAACAATATGCGGTCAATATTACCCGAGAAAAAAAAACCTCTTAGGATCTTATGAGAAAGCGAGATTGCCAACATTTAGGTTTGGTAAATATTCAAACATTAGTGATAAGTTTATAGTAACATACCGCGTTAGAAGATACTTTAAAACAAGATGGTTCTGTATACAATGTTGAAAGACACATCTTACCAATAAGTAGACACCTATTACAGAAATAATGACGATTTATTAAATAAACAAACATGAAAGAAAAGGTTCAAAATTACTTTTAGTATTTAGTGGATCTGCCCTTTGCAATCATTTACAACATCTGAAATCTGGGATTGTAAGATTGGATCCAACTCCTGACGAAGAACTTGGATGATTTTGAAGTTGGTTGTTGGGACGCTTTCAAAGGGGAACAATAAAAGATGGACTACAGAGTCCATATTTGGCTAAGGACGGTAATGTCCTGACCCTTAAATCCATCGTTTTGTGAGGAATGCTCCATCTTGCACAAAAACTGTGACTTTACAGGTGTCTAGATGGCACCCAACACCATAAGAGAAATACCGCCATGTTTTGTCGTGGCTTGCAGACGGTTCAATGAAAGTTTCTTGTAGAATAATCGCCAAACCCAGGTGTGTCCAATTCAAAGAATCTGGACTTGTCGGGAAAAAATAGAATGTTCCAAAAACCAAGAGGGCGTGGTAATACCTCAGATGTTGTCAACGTAAAATATTGTCATGGTAGCCCACGTTGTGAAGATACTTTGTAACGATATTGGAGCAACTGGTTCTTGTCCTGAAACAGCAGCCGCCATTTGGCGTGGACCATACTCCATACTTCTAACAACACCAAGAAATCATTCTGGTGTCTTGGTCGTGCAGAGACGGTTATTTTCAGAGGTAACTAGAATTGCATTGTTGATAGCGATATTGCAAGTGACATGACGATTTCTCAATGAATTTGACCTAACTGGAACTGCATTGTTGATGGCGATATTGCAAGTGACATGACGATTTCTCAATGAATTTGACCGCTCCTCCAAATTGTCCGACCTAGTGAAAACATGGTTGTTTCCCGGGATCCCCCTTTTTATATTCTGTATCTATAATTACCAGTTATTTGCACGTAGCGACATGAAGATGGTCAAATTTGTACTTTCGGGAAGGGGGGGATCTGTTTACTTATTGGTAGAATGCGTACATATTTAGAAATATATTTGAACCCTTACCTCCAATACCTCAAAATAATCATTACCTTAAAAAGTTTATAATTTTAGAGAAATATAGATTTAAATTATAACAATATTCCGTCATATGTTTGGATATAGCTAATGGTATTTCAAGGATCTTATAGCTAATGGTATTCAAGGATCTTATAGCTAATGGTATTGGATATAGCTACTGGTATTGGATATAGCTAATGGTATTGGATATAGCTAATGGTATTGGATATAGTTAATGGTATTTCAAGGATCTTATAGCTAATGGTATTTCAAGGATCTGTAAATGGAATGATTACCATCTGACCCCCGTTTTTAAAGTAAGAGTTTCCACTTGTTTGATAAGTAAAATACAAAGACTATTACAGAAGAAGTGATCTGACCTATAGTATCCGGCACAGCATTCCACTGAAAGTCCAAGTCTGTAGAACTATCTTCTGACAATTTTTGGAAATGCGTAGTGTCTGGATTTGAAAAATTACAGATATATTTTTTTAATTTAATTTTTTTTCACAATTTTTTTTTTTAGAATTATAATTTATAACATATTAATTTGAAGAGGATGTTCTAACCAAAGTGGTCAAACTTCAATAATATATTTGCTAAAATACTGACATTGGATAAATTAGCATTTTTACATACTATGGTGAAAAAAAAAACATTTTTACACTAATAACAAAACTGAAAAAGAACGGTTTCTCAAACGACTGTCCGCCGGCAAAAATGTTAAGACATATCAATAAAAACGATAAAATACTACTACTACTAATAATAAATATTTAATTTTTTAAGACGAACTTGTCGAAATAAATAATTTTATTATTATTTACAGATAAAAAAATTAAATATGTTTAAAAACTTTGAACAGAATCGTACAACAGTTTAAAGCTCTCACGTGCTAAGATATCAGTAATAATACTATGTCATTAAACAATAATGAAACAAATAAACAATAGCTGAATGAGAACAAAAAATATATAAACGTAGATCTGAGTATTTAGTAATTTCAGGTTTTGTTTTTTGATAACGAGAGCTTCTTTAATTTGTATATGATTTTATACTGTTTTCTTTACCAATGATTTTACTGAAAAAATCAAACGAGTGATTACGTCCAACCGTGTGTACATAAATACACGAGAAGGAGCTTCTAAATTTCATTCAACACTGTTGAAAGCTCTCGGCAAGTTTTTCCAATGTAAGAACTAACAAAGAATTACTTTACATATGATTGTCGATCAGAAACAAAGTTAAAATACAACATGTTTCTACGTATGAATAGAGGCCAGCAACAGATTGCATGCGTTGAATGTCAACAACAAAGTTAAACAGAAATGATTGTAAAACAGCATCACGTACGGTTGTAGGACAGCAACAACTCAGCTTCTTCATCCTCATAAATGTCAACAGCGGATACGAGATGCACCTGATGAGGGAACAGAATGGATTACGTTGTTATAACACTACACAAAATTCAGTGCTCTTACTAAAGGAGAAAAATATCATATTAAAGTTGTCAGAATTTCGCTTTAAATAATTATGCTATTAGAATATAATAATTAAAATCAACTTTATCACAACTAATTTATATTCAAATAAAAGTTTGTTTCTTTTACAGCCTAAAAAGAAACAGATTTCCGAGTCCTTTATAATGATTATATACGAAAATTGTATTTAAATTAACCTTTTCAAAGCTGTTCCGTTTCTTTGCAGTAATACGTTATCAGAACTTCGTATTTACTGTTAATTATTTGATTGATTGGCACGAGTAATGAGCTCTTTACTAATCATTCCCGTTATGACTGGTGGATATTTAGATAAATTACCAGTACCGAGAGATGCTAGTCACAGTGTGTTACTTTCTTTAGTATTTTATGTTAATTGATTTATTTTGTCGCAGTTCTAGAAATGTCAGAGTTTTCACTTGGAGAAAATTTGTTTGTTTGGAGATATTTAATCACGTGTTGATAAAGTGCTGGTTCATGAATCGTTATTCACAAATGATTAAGTGTTAGTTCGTGATTCATTACTGTTGATTGTTAAAGTGTTAGTTTATAATTCATTATTGTCGGTTGATTAAGTGTTAGTTTATAATTCATTATTGTCGGTTGATTAAGTGTTAGTTTATAATTCATTATTGCCGGTTTATAAAGTGTTAGTTTATAATCCATTATTGTCGGTTGTTAAAGTGTTAGTTTATAATCCATTATTGTCGGTTGTTAAAGTGTTAGTTTATAATTCATTATTGTCGGTTGATAAAGTGTTAGTTCATGATTTACTACTGATGGTTGATAAAGTGTTAGTATATAATCCACTATTGTCGGTTGATAAAGTGTTAGTTCATGATTTACTACTGATGGTTGATAAAAACACTTTATCAACCATCAGTAGTAAATCATGAACTAACACAGTTCATGATTTACTACTGATGGTTGATAAAGTGTTAGTTCATGATTTATTACTGATGGTTTAGGACAATGTTGATATATTAACATTTAACTTCTGTCGTAGGATGCAGATGCTTCAGATATAATACTCAGCATACGGAACATAGTAGGAGGTGGGCTGAACATGTTTGTAATAAAAACTAGCTTATAACACTAAAATTCTGGTTTCGATACCCGTGATGGTCAGAGTACAGATAGCTTTGGGCTTAACAACGACCAAACAAACCAAAGTCATCTAGATACGATGAACGGTTTAACGAATGAATTCTATCAGATGTCTTTGTTGCTCTTTCTTGACAACTTTCTATAGGTTCTTGGAGGTTTGTATAGATCATATGAGAACTGGCATTCTTATCCCGATACCCAAATACGGAGATAGTAAATTAGTAACGAATGGACATATTCTGACTTTGTTGAACACAGATTATAAGATTCTAGGAAAAGATAAGATCACCGTTTATCTAGTGTTATTTCTGAGCTGGTTTCTCAGGATCAAAAAGCTTGGGATAATGACGACTTCTCTCACTTGATGGTGCCCATTATCAGCGTTTCTTTATTTACTTAATTATTAAATCCAATAATTTATAGTATTGAGATACTATGTCAAGAAAGAAGAAAATACAAGTTCTGTAGTAGTTTATAACTCCATCCACCTCCGCATTATAGCTGACGAACGGAGGTCATATTTAATTTTTTTACTTGGGTTTATTGCACCGGGAGCGTTAAGGTCCGTATTGATTGTACGAAATGATTCCACAGTATGTAGATTTTCTCTACATACTATGTTGTTTTGTAATAAAGCACAAAGCTACACAATGGGCTACCTGTGCTCCGCCCATAACGGGTATCGAAACCCGGATTCTGGCGTCGTAAGTCCGCAGATAATACCGCTGTGCCACTGGGGGGTGGGGGGTGGGGTGCATGTTGTTTTGGACTGATGTTGTTAAGGTCCATCCTATACGACGAATACTTTTCACACAGGTTTCCAGCTTTGATACAATTAAACCCTCGGAACTTTTGAAAATAAAATTATATTTTTTAAATGCCCACATCAATTATTCGATTTGATTTAAAGCTGTTTAACTGACTGCTACCCAGTGGGTAGAGTGCCGGACTGTGGAGTCGAGGTTCCGTGATTCGCGTCCTATTACGACCAAAACGAAAAAGCGCACTCAGAATGGGGGTCGTGGATGCGTTATAAGAGTGACTGTTAAATTCCACTATTCGGTACGTCAAGAATTGCCCAACAGTTGGCGGTGGGAGGTGTTCACTAGATACTTCCCCATAGTCTATCGCTTCAAAATTAGGGACTGCAAATTCTCTCGTGTAGCTTTGCGCCCCATAGAAAAACACATCAATTTAATAATGTTACTACAGTGTTAAAGTAAAAGATAAGGAGCTTCACTCGACAGATTTATGTCAATATTGTTCTGGTGTGTTGGAATCAGTGACGCATCTTCTTCTTTTCTATGTCCTAGGGGTTCAACAGTTTTGGACTTTGTTTTCCAATTAGTGTCCTTTTATATCACGTTTAATTTGACGTTTGAGGAGAAGCGTCGTATAGCACGGGTTGGAGATTCTTTTAGAATAACATATTTGTGATAATTAACATCATTAGTTGAATTTTTGTTTTCTACGTTTTGTAGTATTCGTTTATTTAAGTTAAAGCAAGGATTGAATTTTGATTTTCATCGCTGTTTATTGAAAGTTTATTGTTCAGTGCAAAGCTATACAATACGTTATCTGTGCTCTGTCCACCACTGGGAATCGAACCTGGATTTTAGCGTTGTAAGTCCGTAAACTTATTGCTGACTATCTGGGTGACATATCACATCGAGCATCTTAATACCTTGTGACATATTCTTTAGTTGTACTACGTGATCACGTCTGAAAAAAACGTTGTACAGAAACTAGATGTACTTCCGCAGGGTCCCCGAAAGTGTTCTGTTTCAAGGGTAAATAAAACCAAAATTAAGCGTAAGAAATGTTTTTATTTCTTGCTTTTCAAGTTCATACGCCATGCTGCGTTGTGGCATACAAAGTGTATAATTCTTCTCGTGATTCATGGCATGCGTACGTTTTACTGACGTCACGACTGTACATATCGCTACGATAAACGTCCCTTGTGTGACCTCATTTTAGTGTCTTCCCTACTGACAGACAACACATTACTGTATAGTGGTGCGAGTGGTTAAAACAGGTGACCCCTAAAGGCGGCCTTCAGCCCCTTTTCGGGGAACAAATCTATTATCTCCATTATACCTTGTTCAAAACTTCATATTGATCTTAATATCTTGTGGCGTATTGTGTTCTTCAGTTTTATCTTGTGGTATACATACCCCTCCATATCCTCGAATAACCTTATACTGATATATTGTAATATACTCTAACACATTTGTCTAATTTAGTGTTGTTTAATATATTGATCTATGAGACATTCTCCACTCTTTGATATCTTGGAAAATCATCTCACTGTGCATATATAAATCTGCCCCCCCCCCCCGTGGCACACCAGTATGTCTGCGGGCTTACAACCCCAGAAACCTGGGTTCG